GAATGTTCTTTTAGTCTCCTGTTCAGTTCACGGAGATTTTGAGTTAATTCAGAAACTTTTTGGTCAATTGTACTTTCGTCTCTTGGCTGCTTATAAAGCCTAAGCAGCTGTATGAAATACGGAGATACTTTAGAGTTGTAAAACTCTAAAAACATGCGGACTTGGTATCTCTCAAATGGATCTTTGGGAAGGAGGTTGGCTTCAGGATACGAATCGGCTACAAATTCTGCCACCTGTGTTGATTCGACTAAAATCTTTCCATTAGCTAGGCGCAAAGCTGGAACTTGTAATGCAGGGTTTACTTCTTTATACCATTCTGGTTTGTTATTCAAGTCGATTAAAATTTCTTCAAAGTCAGCACCAGCTTCATGCAAAGAAAGTATGACTCTGTTTGCATACGGACAGATCCTCGAAACATAGACAGTTAGTTTGTTTGCGTTGTGTGGATACATTTCTAGATGGTGATATTGAAACAACTGAAAGTTGAGGAAAGTCGGGTTTTTATAGTTTTTTAATATAAAACTCTAGAAACTGTATTACTAATCAAAGTTTCGAATCAATACTACTAATTAAATTGCGCAATTTATTCCTTTTTTCTATTTTTTTCTATTCTTTAATAGAATTTTATTGGTTGGAATTTCCTTGTTATTGATTTTGATACTTTTTCATCTATTAGTAACAAAACTTTGAACATTATTGATTTAGATTTTTTCAAGTTTATTGTTAGGTTAACTATATTATTTTTAACAAGGCTTTAATATATCAAAGTGTGGTTATTTCGAATATTAGATCCAAATTTGTTTTGGTTTGGATTTAAACCTGAGGTTCAAGTATGCAATTATGTGATAGATTACTGCCATTCCCAAGTTGATACATATGCACTCTACTATGCTGAATTTGTTCAAACTAAAGGAATTAATGACGGCTTCACCAGTAGGATAACATCCAGATCCTTCCGATGCTGTGCATTGAAAGACACGGCCATGCATTTCATTTTGCATCGCGGCCATATATGTATAGTAGATGTAGCTGAGATATTTAAACCATGAGAGCACTTTTGTAACATAATCACCATTGACAAGGACACCACCGTATATGATAAAGACAGATAAAACTAATGGTGTAAGAAGTGATGCTACTTCGACTGAGGGGGCAAATGAGGTGACGGCAAAGGCAAATCCAAGAGAGCACAGGATGCACGAGTAGTATGTAGCAATGAAAATAAAATATTTTGCAGCGGAAACTTGTAAATTACTCAGAAAGTATATTCCTGTCAGCATAATCAAGTTTGAGAAAAGTATGATTGGGACTTTGGTGAAGACGATGGAAAGGAAGAATGAAGACATTCTGAAAGAACCTGATGAGCGTTCTCTAGTCATTACTTTTTTTTCTTGAATAAGAACAGAAAGCAGCGGCATAACTATGGGGAAAACCATGTTTATAGTTAGTAAGAACAGCATACCGATTTTGTTTTGGGCATCAGCAACGCCTACAACTTTCTTGAAGAAAGTAAATCCAACTAACAGCAAAGTTACAATTGCATTTCCGAAATATGCACCTAAAACACCCTTATCTCTCATTTGACGGGTCCAAGAACGTCTAAGCAGTGTAACAAATTCTGATGACCAACTACTTGCCCATGTTATTTTGTATACTTCTTCTTGGCTGTTTCCGAAGTCACTGCCTTTTTCGGTTTCAAGTAATCGACTGGCTGAAGTAGAACTAACTGAGGAGGACATATCACCTCCAGGTGGTATGAACTGGTATCCATTTGCTTGTGTGTAACTAGCCCAACTATTCTTAAGCATATCAATTCTTTCAATGCTTTCGGATTCCAACTTATCATCTTTGGTGTCAATAGTCATATTATCCATAAAGAAATCGGCGGGATTTTCGTGTTTTGGGCATTCGAGGCCAAGGCTTTCAAAATATGGAATTGAGTATTTAGTTGGACCAAAATAAACCATACCACCTGGAACCATAAGAATGACTTTATCAAACATATTGAAGATTTTTGAATTGGGTTGATGAATGGAACAAACAGATATAATATTTTTTTCTTTGGTGATGTCTTTGACAAGACTGATAACCATTTGAGAGGAGTTACTGTCGAGGCCTGAAGTAGGTTCATCGAGAATCAAGATTTTGGGATCGGTAGCGAGTTCCATACCTATACTAACACGCTTGCGTTCACCACCAGAAATACCTTTAATTTTCTCATCACCAATGAAAGTGTCCTGAGCTTTTTCTAGCCTGAGTTGTCTTATAATTTCAGCAACACGATTAGCTTTATCTTTTTTTGAATACTGAGATTCAGGAAGTCTGAACTGAGCAGCATATTCAAGAGTTTCCTTTACAGTCAGATTGGGGAACAGGATATCATCTTGTTCTACATAAGCAGCTTGTTTTTTAAAAGTTCTTGGCTTACGTTTCTTTCCATTGAAATTGATTTCACCAGTAACGGTTCCACCTTGGACTCTACCAGAAAGGATGTTAAGAATGGTAGTTTTTCCAGCACCAGAACTGCCGATAATGGCAACTAGCTGTCCGCCTTTAAGGGTTCCACTGATGTTTTTTAAGATTTCTTTGTATTGAGCATTTTTTCCTTTTCCAGTTTTTATAGAGTAGGAAAGGTCTTTGAATTCGAGGACGTTCATTTGTAAGGATTTGGGATAAGGGGTAATAGTGGGAAGTGGGTTTTATATATGATTTTACATGGGTTCAATTTCTTGGCGAAAATATTTTCAAAAAAACGGGTCAAATCAGTTTTAAAAACTATTCGCTGGTTTAATTGTTCTCTGAACATTACTGCCAAACATAAATGTACCGTTTTGGTCATCTCTAGCAAATCGTCTCTTTGAGAAAATAGAAAAATAGACGTAGATTTGTAATAGTTGTTTTTAATTTCCAACTTCAAAAAACGTGGAATTATGATTGGTGAGAATATTTGTATTCCTTTTTTGCTGTATTGGGATTGGTATTTAAGCGTCACGAAGGCTTTTTTTCTCTAAAAAGTTAGATTTAATAAACGGAGGTTTTTCAAAATCGCCAAGCCTTAGAAACTTCCTATCATCTCAAATACCTTGTTCAAAAAAACATTATATCACTATCTATATTACCTCTATCCCCACCTCGTCCTAGCCCCCGTTATCTATCCCAGTTAAACTATGTGATTGTATTTGGTCTGAATGAAATAGCTAAAATCATTTTTCTAAGAGTATTGATTTTATAATGATGAACTAAATTAAACCGTGATTTTTTGCCAATAGTATTGTTAACCAAAATTAGCTACTATTTTTTCAACTTTTTTTTGGCTTATAAATCCAGTTTATTGATCACCAATAGTCATAAAAATTCAATAAATGAAAAGTTAAAAACTAATTAAAAATGTCCCAAAAACCACTCCAATGACCCATCATCCAACCCCACTCTGCCTCACTAGAGGCTCCCTACCCATCACTGGGCCTTGGTTCAAGAGATTATTTCTGCATCTAATTGGTATAACAACTGCTGAGGATTTGTAAGGTCTTGTGATTTTTACAGTTTGCCTTTCCTATTTACAGTAAAACTCAAACACAACAAACCAACAATTTTTGTTTGTTGAATAGTTGTTTTTTTACTAAGTATTGACATTTATTACATAGAGAAATTCTGGAGTATACACAGAAATATTTCGTCTTGTTATAAGAAAAGAACCTCACCAAAACGAAGCAATTTATAATTTACCCATAAACTGTTTTAGACCAATTGTTGTAATACAAAAACCAATTAAATGACACAGAAATCACATGGCTCTCTTTGAATACATTTACTAAGAAAAACCTGTTTATTTGTTACTCGCTTCCAGCTATGCTATAGGAATCTGAAATACATAATGTTTTTAACAAATTATATAATATCTTGATTCCTCAAACAATTATAAATATTCTTTATTGCTTTGGAGATTATGCCCAAAAGTTTGTTCTTGTTGGGACATATACCCAACAGAACCAATGAGCGCATATCCATAATATTTGAGATTGTTGACAGTGTGCCAAAGTTTCATACCATTGCAATTTTAGAAAAAGAGTAAAAATATTAGAACTTCAATTGTACCAATGTGAAAATAACAAAGCAATTTGAAAACTCTATTAATCTTGGGGTTAAAAGTAACTTGGTGCGAAACTTTAGATTTTGAAAGTATTTACTATTGCTGAAAATTGTAGACAAACCTAATTTAAACTAAATTTTATCTACTGTGGTTTTTCCTTTAGGATGGTATTTCCTGATTTGAAATCGGATTTCTTTAACCATTTCACAGGATTTTTGTTGTAAAAGGAATATGGTGGTACTACAACAAGAACAGTAAGAACAAATCCAAACAGATATATATACATTGCCAATTTCATGTTGTCAAGCATTTTCCCCGCTACCAAAGAGATAATTGCAGAAACTACAAGAATAGATGTAGATATGTTCTCCGCCAATTTCTGGCCCTCAAAATCCTAAAAGTTTTACATGTTAAATGAGAAATACATAGATGTTACTTACTATTTTACCAAAATCGGTTATGGGTTTCAAGAATGAATTCATTTTGAGTTTAATATTTGAAGCGAGTGTTTTTTTACTTTTGAATGCAAGATGTCTTTTAACACTTTCATTTTTCAATAAAATATAAACCAAACAATACAGCTTTATTGGACAGGTTACTATCCAATAAAAAATGTACAACTGTTAAATTATTGGACAAGCATCTAAAATAGCCAATTTTAGAATAATTTCTTTTTCATATTACACTTAGTCTGAATTTGAATTTTTTATTTTTATTTTGTTTGTTGTTCAAACAACTAATAAAGGATGTTGCCTATATGTCAGCGTACAAAAGAAAAATTACACAAACTAAGTGTACGAGGTTTTAAAAATGGTTCTACTCGGTGATTTCAGTGTTAATAGCTTGGTTCAAAAATATTTGTATCAATACTTTTATTTATGCCTCAATCAAATTGAAACAAAAAAGAATTTGCCTAATGGGTGGATTGAACACCCGACCTTTGGTTGTCTAATTATTACAAGACCAACGCTCTACCACTGAGCTAATCAGGCTTGGATTTGTGCTTTCAATTCAACTTTTATATAACTTTTATAGGTTTGGTTTTATCAAAAAATTTTCAAAACTAATATCCGATTATTTCTGTCGTAGAAAATGAAAACCCAATTTCAAACCAAACCAAATAGTTTTGTCTCTAACTTTGCACCTGTTTATGATTGCATTATTTACGCAAAGAGTTAGAACCCAAAAATATCCATATAATTTTAGGATTTTTTTAAATCAGATTTTGGGTAAATAAAAGCGAACTTTTTTTAGAGATTTGTTTATTATATATAATAATATGTAAAAACAAAAGAAACTCCGATTATTTGAAAAATTGTTTAAAGACAGGGTTGTTTGTTTCGTCAACGTATTGGTAATTCAGGTTTTCCAAAAACGAAATAAATTCATCTGGTAACTCACCAGGTTTCTGGTTTGGTGTTTGTGGGATTTGGATTGCAGCAAGAACTCTTCCAATATCATGTCCCTTATTTCTGTAGTGGAACATAGTGATATTCCAAGAACTTTGTATCATGACAAGGAATTTGTGAAGTGCACCAGGACGTTCAGGAAATTGGAAGCTGAACAAATGTTCATTTTCAAGGTTGCTTTTACCACCAATCATATATCTTCCATGCTCTTTTGCAAGTTCGTTTTCACTAATATCTGTAGCTCTAAAGCCCTCTTTTTCCAAATTTTGGATTATGAGCGGAAGTTCATTATCTCTGTCTGTAGTGGTGAAAGACATGAAAATATTTGCCTCTTCTGGATCAGAATAACGGTACGAAAATTCTGTAACATTTCTTGGATAGATTTGTTGATGAAGGCGAAGGAAACTTCCTGGTTTTTCTGGAATAACAACAGAAATCAAAGCTTCGCGTCTTTCACCTAGTTCTGCACGTTCAGCAACAAACCGAAGTTTACTAAAATCTATGTTTGCCCCACTAGCAACTGATACCAAAGTCTCTTCGGTAACTCCATACTTTTGAACATATTTCTTTAGGCCTGCAGTTCCCAATGCCCCCGCTGGCTCCAAAACGCTTCGTGTATCTTCAAAAACATCCTTGATGGCTGCACATATCTCATCGTTTGAAACAAGTATCACCTCGTCAACAAACTCTGAACTAACTTTGAATGGCTCTAGACCAACCTGGCTTACAGCTGCACCATCAGCAAAAAGACCGACTTGACCAACATTTATTGGGTGTTTTTCTTTCAATGCTGAATACATGGCATTTGCATCGTGTGTCTCAACACCAATTATTTTGATTTTAGGGCAGATACGTTTAACATAAGCTGCTATTCCAGCGATGAGGCCACCACCACCAACGGCACAAAATATTGCATGAATGTCTTGTGCACGATGTTGTTTAAGGATCTCAACACCAACAGTTCCTTGACCAGCAATAACGTAGGGATCATCGAAAGGTGGGATATTTGTAAGTTTTTCTTCTTTGACGAGTCTTTCGCATTCTGCTTTTGCACCTTCAAAATCATCTCCATGGAGAACAACAGTTGCACCCAATCGTTCAACATTTCTCCATTTAATATCCGGCGTCAGTAGAGGCATAACTATTTTTGCTTTGATTCCCAGGATTTTTGCAGCGTAAGCAACACCCTGTGCATGATTTCCTGCGGAACAAGCAACAACACCAGCTTTTTTTTCTTCTTCAGTTAGATTCACTAGTTTGTTGTAGGCACCCCTAATCTTGAAAGAAAATACTGGCTGGAGATCTTCGCGTTTGAGATATACATGGTTTTTTGTTTTTGTTGAGAGGTTTGTGGCATACATTAAAGGAGTTTCTATGGCAGCATCATATACATAGGATGAAAGAATCAAACTCATGTAATCGTTTGTGGATTTGAGCTCGTTTATTTTTGAGTTTGCGAGATCTACTAGACTAGATTTATATTTCTCTTCCATTTTAATCAAAGTAGTGAATAGACTAAGAAAAATGTTTTTTTTGAATCAATCAAATTATAAAAATTGCAAGAATCAATCCGATCTTTGTTATTTAGAGTCACTAATTTACAGCCAATAGAATCCGTTGATATATGATTGGACAAAAACATGCTTTTTACAAATGTGGCTAATAATCTCAAGTTGGTAATTTGAAAGGATTTTTAGGGGGTGAACTTGGTTTATAACTCCCTTTTCTCTTGAAAATCCCTTTCATTAAACCCTTTCACCCTAAAAAGTATGGCCCAACCTATCGAAAAGACACTCGTCCAGTTTGAAAAAGGAAGAATCGATCTTAAGGGTTGCTACAAACACCTCAATGATTTCGAAAGACATCGACTCCAGGAACTATGGCAAATGTGTATTGAAAGATTCGATACACCGATCGAATCTCTAACAGGAGCCAAAAACAGCAATATTTCTCTTCCAAACATTGGAGTAGATGAAAAAGAAGTATCGAAACCTCCTAAAAACCCAAATGCCAAAGTTTTCATGGACTGTATCTACGACCAGAACGTTTCCCAAAAAGTTGGTAAGAAGCTTGTTCCTGTAGACTTTGTTTCTACCTGCAAAGACAACACTTTGAGGTCCCAAATGTGGGAGAGTTTTCGCGAGGATGTACCTGACACACTTGCTCTCCGTTTTCTTCGTGCTCGTAACTGGGATGTCGAGAAGGCTCTTGATATGATTCTTACTACAATTAAATGGAGGTACATGGATAATGTTGAAGAGAAAATCTTTTATGGAGAAACTCTTAACGAAGCCTCGTTGATGTATAAAGGAACATCATTTATCCATGGAGTTGATAAATTGGGCCATCCTATAATGTAATTTTTTTCTCTTTTACTTTTTCCTTAAAAATTATTAATTTAGATGGTCTCCTTCAGCTGCTCATTTTCAAAAAGACCAACCATTTTCACAAATGAAACGGTATTTGGTTTGGATTATGGAAACAGCAAGAAAGTTTTTGCATTATCCTCACGAAAAAGTTTGTCTGATAATGGACTTGTCAAACCATAGCACAGCAAATATGGTAAGTTTTATTCCACTTTCTTATTTACTAAATTTTATTTTAGGACTGGCCATTCGTAAAAATGTTCTTAAAGTATCTGAGCACTTTTTATCCAGAATGTCTGGGTGTCGCTATAGTATATAACGGGCCTTGGTTCTTCCCTGCCGTATTCAAATTGATTTCACCTCTTATTGATCCTAATGTAGCCATGAAAATCCAGTTTGTTAAAAATGAAGAAGGATTATTAAAGTTTATAAACAAAGACCAATTGATAAAAATCAGAGGAGGAGATAACAATTATGAGTACGAATACATTCCACCAAATGAGAATGAAAACATTAAAATGGCCAACCTTGAAGAAAAACAAATTGCGCTTGAGAAACGTAACATCATAATCGACGAACTGACAGAGCTCACCAACAAGTGGATAGAAGCAGGAAATCTCACTAAAGAACTTGATTCAAAACTGGACAATTTAACAAACCCCAAAAGTAACAATAATGGCAACAACAAAAATAACGATGATCCTGAAAGCGATGACGACATTGACGAAATAACGAAAAAACTTGATGAAGCCATTAAAAACGAACTGGAAATTCATCAACTCCGTGATGAATGTCAAGAACGTTTTGCTGCTGCAGCAAGAAATTTAGATCAGTACACACGTGCTCGCTCACTTTACAATAGGATTGGAGTTCTTGATGAAGATAATGTAGATTGGTCTAAAGTGCAAAAACAATTCATGTAGATCGAGATTTTATTCTAGAACAAATTTATTTAACCACCAAATTTTTTTATTGTTTATCAATAAAGTTGCATAAAAGCTCAAACCTTTTTTAATCAACATTAACTTTTTCATTCAAAATGTCTACAAACACAGAAAATAAAGACTCTGCTGATAATACTGAAGTAGTTCGTGAAAGATTAGAAAGCTTAGATGTTCGCTCTGCTGAAGAAATTGAAAACATAAGGAAGGGTTCACTTGTTGTTTCAAGTGAACATGTTGTAGAAGGGTTCCCAGAATTTAAGGGAAACAAACTGACTGGATACAAAATTTCAGAAGGTGGGACAAGCAAGGCAGTTGCCAGCGGTGTTGGATACAAATCCTCTTCAGATAAGGGTGGCAAAATTAAGCGTGCTGTTATGGTATGTATAAATGAGGGAGATACAACAAACAGTATTATAAAATTTGCAACACAAGAGTTTGTTCATAAGGACAGTGACTTGATAATTTTGATACATGTACGCAAAAGCAATGAACTGACAGGGTTTACAGGACTTGATGAATACATTCCAGAAAATACTGACATCAACGAATCTTTCCGACAACAAAGTTATGAACTACTCAAACTCCATGGAAACTTGATAAAAAATGAAGGTTTCGTTATTAAAGCTATCAGTCTAACTGGAGACCCAGGAAAAGAAATTGTAAGAAAGTCTAAAGAACTCGATGTAGACCATGTAATCATGGGAGCAACCACCGCAAAAGGTATTAAGCGTGTGTTCATGGGAAGTGTCACAGACTACTGTATCAAACACTGTGAATGTTCAGTTACTGTAGTCAGAGAAAAGGATTGAGAAAACTAGATTTATTGTTTAAATCCAAAGACTTATACATTTTACAAAAGCTAAAAATAAACCATTTGAAAAGCTGTTACAGTTGTAAACAGTCAAGTTAGTGGCTTGATTATACATACAGCCCAATACATTTGCCTTTTAATTAGAATCTTCCTAAAAAAACAATTAATCTTAAATCTATGTATAAAATACTTGCACTTTTTCCGTTTCAACTATTATTGTTGGAATGACTTCTTCAGGTACATGCTCAGGAAGAATACTTTCTGCTCGATGGGCAATCGAATAAATGTAACCTGCCATACTTTCCTCGATTTTACCCCACTCTAAGAGATTGTTAGAAATGAATCACAACATTTTACCTACTTGTTAAACAAAGACCAGTGTTATCAACTATCATAACACCCAGAACCGAAGGATCATCGTGAATACTACCAAAAGAGCTGTATTAAAAAAAAACTTGAACA